GGGCTATTCCATACCATATGACGTCATGCTGTGGGGAGTTGGCCGGGGGGCAGCGATCGCCGCTTGGGAACTGGCTGGGCATCGGTTGGCAAGTGGTGAGCAATTACATTGTGCATCACTTGCTTTGTATATTATTATTACTATTATATTGTTGTTGTTGTTATCATTACTATTTTACTTCATTTTATTTCAATTATTAAACTGTTCTTATCTCAACCCAGGAGTGTTTCTCACTCTTACTCCTCCGATTCTCTCCCCCATCCCATCGGGGTAGGGGGAGCGAGCAAGCAGCTGCACAGTGCTTAGTTGCTGGCTGGGGTTAAACCACAACAGCTTCATTGAGTAGCAATTCATTTAAGTGTAGGTTACTTACTGGTGTTTTACACACAAGATGAAGTTTGAAGAATTCTTAGTGAGGTGGTGATAGGATAGAAAGGAACAGACGTGTTAACTTCTATTATGTACTAAGCTTTTTCATTTTGTGACCCTCCTATTCTTCCCTCTTCATATTGAGAAGATCTCATCTGGGCTTTGCCATGTGATAAAGTGAGGGGACTTTGACAAAGGCCAGCTACCCTCAAATGCCCACACTATTATCACTTGACGTGATATTTGCTCTGTACTAAAGACTTACACTACAGGACTCTGCTGAGAGCTCCAATCACTTACAATTTCTGCTTGTTGCTCTACATGACGTTCTCTCTCCTCCGCAAATTTTCTCATTTCTCTGTTGCGATGGCTCTCAGCTTCTTTTACTTGATTTATGAGTCTCATTTTTTCCTCCAGCCACCTCTTTCTATCAGTTTGATACTTTGCCTCATTTTCCTATTTTAATGAAACCAGAAATAAATCCATAGGTAGAGATTAAGCAAAAAAACCCCCAAACTTAAAATCCAGATGACCATTAAATGAATTCATTTCAAAAAGATAACAAAAATACTAGCACAGCTGTACTCCAGCACATTCCCAACTGTGAGTATTACATTCTTATTTGTTCTTCTCTATTGAAAAAAAATTAATAATTTTCAGCACTTATTCAGACTGCCATGTCTTCATGGAACAGAATTTTTTTTCCTCTACAAATGCTCTGGGTAAGTCACAAACACTATAAAAGTTACACCAAAAGTAATGGTAAAGAGACCCTTTTAACTTAGAAATTCCCAATCTTTTATGCTGCCTTACAGAACATGTTAGAAAACTTACTTCTACTTCAAGACTGAAGGGCAAAGAATGCAGTACAGTTTGAATGGTAGGCAGAGATAGAGTGTACCTAGGAACGCCACTTCAATCTACAGCAACTTTGCCTCCTTTTCTATCACAAATCAAACCTCCTGTCAGACATTCTCCCACACAAGACAGGGCACCTGAAAAGCTGCTTAGAAAAAAGTCTACTTTCTAATCCAAGGAGAATTAGAGGTAAGTCCTCAGCTGAACAGGAAGGGCTTATGGGTCATACAGCAAGCACAAGATCTTGAAAGAGTTTGATTTAGTTGCCCAAGCAACTGACAGGAAAGAGGTTTGGAATGGATATCATGAGTTGGATTAAGACAACTGTAAGAGGAGCCCAGCTACAGAAGCACCGCCCATGGTAGCATAACATAGAGAAGGGTGCACCCCATTATGAGGCATCAGTGATACCATATATTACAAAGACACTGCATCTAGAATTTGCTGCACTGGTGCACTGCAGCTTTTAGAGGAGGTTTCCTTCACCAGTGTAGAAACTTGCCATATCATGCCCTAGCTCTTGAGGATAGCAACACAAGAATATTTAGACTCCTAAATGGAAGTTATGACTTTAAAACTAAGTACGAATTATATCACCGTATTTTACCTTCAGTTCTTTTTGCAGCTTTATTAATTCCTCATTTTCATTTATGTTTTTCTCCTCATTTTTGCTCATCTTTTGCTGCCAGTCACTATCACTCTGGTTACTCAGCGCTCTATATTTCTGCTTCCACGCTTCCAGTTCTAGTCAGCACACAAAATGAGGTCACGTTATCTATAGTTTCAAATGCATATTTGACCACATTCACATCCTTCTACTAAAGTTATTTAGATTTATCAGCTATGACCACAAAGACAAAACAGAAGCCTTTAACTGTTAGAAGTTTATGTACTACATAAAATTAATGCCTAAATAACAGTCAACAAACAAAACCAGAAATTTAAAGCAGCTATCACAATACATCCAAAACCATTTTGTTTCCCTGCTCCCTTTCCATAGAGAGATTACCCAAAACTAATCTGTTGGTCTCTTCTAATTTGGCTTCAAGCACTTGATCTTGTTCAACCTGAGTCTGTTCTTGTTCTTCTAACGTCATCCGCATATCTTCAATTATTTTTTCCTTTGCACACAGATCTGAAGATTTGAAAGTAAATTTACAGATGAGCCCCCTCTTAGTTCCCACCATTCTCTCCCAAAGTACCTTCATTACAAGTCATTTCCCCCATTCTCTGACATCAAGACCTCTATTAGAAAGAAATAGAGCATCTCTACCGAACTATGCAAATCCAAAATTCTTAAGCGATTCTCATCAACTGGATTTAGGTGAGCGTTTCCATGTTAACGTCAGTCAGACTATGGCTTGTATTATATGAGAAACCAGCCATTGTTCAACTGCTAAATGTTTAGAACCTGTTGTGCTAGTTCATGTTTCAGTGTTTGATTTTGTTAAAACGGCCAACTGAAGTGGCAAATAACATTTAATAAGTTACACTGATACAGCAAATCCACACTTTCTCTGGGGCTTATGTTTCTTATTCCGAGACTGTTTATTTGCTTTCAAATACACCTGCTAATAATGATTCAATGAAAATTAGTTCCTGACTAACATTTTAATGTCCAGGTTGGAGTTTCTCAATATATTAAAATGTAACTATACAAGACACTCTGAATTTGTTAACAGCATGACAACTCATTATGTTGTCATTCCACACAAAAAAAATGGAACAATAATGGCTTTTTCTGACCTTTACGTGTTTTCTCGTATTGTTTGGAGATTTCTTCCAGCTTCCCATTATTCAACTGCTCCTAAATATCACATTGAAAGCAAATTAAAGAAAACGTGTTGAAAGAAACAAATATACATGCTAGAAATGAGTAGCTTTTCAATCTGAGGTTTAATAAGTAATGAATAAAGTATTTAAGTCAAACTGTCCAGAATAAATAAGTTTTTCTTATAGTGTAAAGGAGCAATATCTAAGTGTCATTAATCAGAATCAAGGTATCTGCAGGTATTAAGTACGTATTTACTAGGCAAGTTATTCAAAACAATTTGACAATGTCCTGCAGTGAAAAGTTCTTCAAACATCTTTCATTCATCCATTAAAACTGATTTCAGCTGGCTACTCTTATTTTTACCCCAATTTCTGTAAGCTTTCTCCTGCTGCTTGGAAAATTGCCTCACTAATGGATTAGTTAAAAAAATTAAGAGCAAGTAAAATTTAAAAAAATAAAATACCTTTTTAAGTTGCAGGATTGTGCGCTGTTTGATCTCTAAGTCTTCACTAAACTGGTTTTTAATTTTCTGAAGTTCACTAACTTTGTTCCTCAGGGATTCCTCCTCAGATCGCATTGTACACACCTGTAACAATGTACAAAGACAGCAAGCAAAGCTAACATTTAGCTGTAAGCCTTTCACAATCTCCCTAAGTTACCTAAATATCCAAATACTTTAATTAAGAGTCAAATTTTTGCAAGCATCTTAGCTAAATTTCAGGGGCTGGAAGTACATGACACTGTACATCCTTCCTAGGGAAGGATTTTCACCATAGAGTATTACATTTGGTGGGGGGAATAGCCTAATCAAACTACAAATTCAGTTGTCCTTAAAAAAAAAAAAAAAAAAGTTTTCTGACATGCAATCCCATCCAATCCTTGCTACTTCTCAAACAGAGGATTATACACTGAATATTGAGTAGGAAAAGGTCCTCATGTTAGGCTGTTGGGGAAAACAGTAACACTTTTTTTAAGGCTTAACTTTCAAGCCCAAATTCTCACAACAGTCATTCGGATTTTAAGTTCTTATGAGGTTCTAAGAAATCCTACTGCTTGAGAACTAAAGACTAACAATTCACATTAGTAAATGTTATTTCATTTTTTCATTTCTTCTCCCCAACCTTAATAGAAAACATTGCTCAGATTTTTAAAAGTCTCTAGAAGTTAGTGCTTTCCTTTCCTATTAATCCATCTTTTCCTCCCAGAGATCAGCATTTTCCACAAGTCTGAAGTCTGAGGCTTTGAAGTCAGTACAAATAACAATGTAAGGCTACTGTTATTATAAAGATTATTAAGTCCTTCTCCGTAACCAGATTAGCCATAGTTTTCATGAACCTTTTTCAAGTGTATTAATAAAATTTACTTCCCCACTTCAATAACTATACTAGTCTGTGTTTTGACATCTGTTCTTATCTTTAGCTTACATCTTCAATAGCAGAGTAACTTAAGACTCACTGTTACTCTGAATGTATCACTCAAAATAGCCTTATTGTGAATCACTTTTAACATTCGTAGTTTGAGATTTGGGAAAACTGGTTTTAATAACAGAACCCAAAGCCTAAACTTGCAAAAGAAACATTTGGCCTATAGTCACCAACCTCTTTTTGTACTTGTTGAATTTGTTTCTTGGCATCAGCAAATTTCTCTTTCAAATCTGTATATTCTTCCTCTTTCCTCTGCAAATCTTTTTTCAAACTCTGTACAAGGTCAGAGCTCTCCGAAAGATCTTTACGTAGCCTTGCATTAGAAATTATGACACATAAATAACATTAATATTACACATCTCAAAGAAACAGCTTTTACACATTAACTCAGGCACTTTGACTCCTAATTTTATTCATCAATAGAATCTCAGACCTATCAGATCAATTACAATCTTCATAATTTTACTTTTGGATTTCAGCTTCTTATCATATGATCCTGAAGCAACAAACTGCTCAGATTCCCTTCTGAACGCTGCAATTTCTTAAATTTAATTTTTTAAAGTACAGTAGAGCAACCATTTTTACTATTAGATGTCATTACAAGTAACAAAAGGAACAAGATTAATACAAAGTAAATTTAAACTTGATATCTACATCACAGACCTTGTAAGGATCAAAATAAATAAAAATCAAAAGAAAACAGAAAGAACAATAACACTGCAACAAGTACTGCTGTTACAAGTGCTATAGGTTCATGGGTTTATTTTCAAATGGTTGTATTTTTTTAAAAAAAATTTACAGTAAGACATCTTGGACTTTTATTTTAAAACTAATAAAAGTTTTTTTAGATTCTGTAATTGACAATACAAAACAAGACCGCACAAAAGGAAAACCTTTCAAAGCTTTATAAACACAGGGTCAGGGATCCCCAGGCCTTCATGCTAAATTGTACTTTAGAGTGAGTATATGCAGGTACCCACAGATATGGCACTAAAGAAACCCAAGTCAGAAGTAGGTCTACATAGCATATTAAAGCTATTTTTACATGATCGCAATTTCCTTGCCATATAGCAAATATAATCTCTCAGATAAATTTAATCTCTTATTTCTTAAAGATTTAAAACGTAGAGGGGGCTGGGGGAAGTTCTGCCCTCCTACACCCATTATTTCTTCAGGTTCTTATAGTAGACTGTGTTCACCTAGAATAGCTATTACCAAAGCCAGCCGTTTACTCCCTAGGGTTTTTTCTTTTCTTTCTTCTTTTCCTTTTTACCATTCACACTCCTTTCCAAAGAAAACATTGCCTGCTTTTATACAAGTTACAGGATATAACATTAAACTATGTATGTCAGTTTCCTCCAGAAAGGGTACGCAACATAAAACTATTGGAAATCCCCAAATAATTCATTTCCTTGTATGGTACTGTTCTCCCCTACAATAGTTCCACGTGATTTAGATCTATATTTCTGAAAGCATATACAGACAGCTGAGGAAAAACATAGCCAGCAGAATATGCAAATATAAAATTCAAGTAGTGTATTAAAACTTCTTAAAGAAGCAGTTTGGTTAATAAAGTTGATAAACATGCAAATGTGTTATGTAGAAATAAACTGATGTTCACAGAAGGTAGTTTTAACTTGAGTCTATTCGCAAAGGGCTATGAGTTATCTCATTATTTACTTACAATTCTATAGATTGTAATCGCTCATCCTCTTTTTTCTCCTTTTCCTGAAGAGAGTGTTTCATGTTCTCCATGCGGTTCATCAACTGTACAACTTCATCTTTCAGATTTGCTTCTTGATCATTTAATTCTTTCAGTTTTTTGTCAGAATTGGCACATTTCTCTTGCAGAGCTACTGTATTACTTTCTAGATTTAAAATAATAGATTCTTTTTCTTTAAGTACTTCTTCTAACTTTGTTATGCTGTCATCTTTAGCTCTAGAAGCCTCCAAGAGGCATTCAAGCTCTCTTATTTTTCCCTTGTAGCCGGTAACTTCCTCCTCAAACTGTGCAATTAGTCTGTGATCTTCTGCAGCCTGTTTTTCAAAATCCTGAGTTTTCTTCTGGATTTGTTCTTGTAACTGATTCATAAGATCTTTTTCCGTTACTGACTGACAATCTTGATTTGCAATCTCATTTAATTTTATTTTTAGTTGATTATTATAATTCTCAGTGTCATCAAGTCCCTTTTTTAAGTCTTCAACTTGTTGAAGTAGTTCTTGAATCCGCTGACTTTTTTGTGAAGAAGCCTTAATAATATTTTTGCACTCTTCCCAAATGCTTTCAACACTGCAGTGAAAGGAGCTCTCCCGTCTCAGATCTGCTGTAGAAGCAGTTTGGGACTGCATGCATACAGGACTCATTTGCGATCTCTCTGGTTCATCTTTTTGAGAGTCTAAGGAATCCTTTAGATTAACTACATCAATATCCATAGCATAAGACTCTAAGTGACATTTATACAACTCATCTACTTTGGACTGCATTGTTTTAATTTGTGACACTTTATCAATTATATTTTGTTTGGCACTTCCTACTTCATTATTTAGCTGAATAATCTTTTCTTCTTGTTCCCTATTTATAGTTTTCTGTTTGTCCAATTCAGAAACAACCTCCTGATAGTCAGCTCGACACTGCTGAAGTTCTTCACTTAAGCTAGAAGCCCTTTCTTCAGAAGCAGAGAGCTTGAGATGCAAGTTTTTCATCTGCCCGCTGAACTCTTCTTTTTCGTTTTTCTCTCTTCTGCATTGTTCTTCAAGCACAGCTAGCTGACCTTCCAAGGTTTCAGTTCTTTCCTTCAGTGCTAGTATTTCTACATAGTTGTCAGAAGCATTTGTTTTCACGTGTTCAGTTCTCTTTTGCTCTAGATAGTCATCTTCCCAACTCTCCTTCATATTTCCTAAAAAAACAAAACCAACCCCAAAACATACTAGTTAATTAAAATCAATAGTACAAGTCACTAGCAATACCAAATAGCAATTACTATACAAAAAATGGTCACCATCTGAAAGCCACACCCTCATATCATACGGCATTTTTAAGTCCTGAAGTAGTTAAAGCTCCCTGAACAGTTTAACATGCAATAGGTGCCTCTTAGGGTTCTAGACATAGTTTGCAGCAAGAAGTGTTCAGGTGCCTTAAAGAACACTTTGCCACAGCTCTATTCCAGCCTTCTACTGTGCACCACTAGTAGAAAAATCTAGCTAGTTTTACTACTACGTAGTAATACCTATGAGCTAGGTACCATTGACAGTTATATCTAGTTTCCATCTTCACTGGTTCAACAATCCCTTTAATACAGCCAGCAATTATCTATTCAACATTTAGAAGAGCAATGGTATATAATTCTCTGAGAAGTTCCTTTCATACTCAATATCCCCTTACTTTAAAAATAAAGCTAAAAATCCAGCACAAGTTTTTCACTTATCATCTGGGGCCTTCCTCTCTTCTTTTTTCAATTTGTTTCTAAACTAGATATAAAGATAACTATTTATGTCCACACCTAAAGTGTTGCATGTAAAGTTCTCCCAGAAAGATGTAGAACATTCCATTACAACTCCAAATTTCCATAAATATTTTATTAGCTTAAGACTGTTTTTCCCCCTAAGTAACAAGCAATTCTAACTAAAGTCACATGCATTTCACCACCTTCAAAATTGACTCCAGCTGTATTTCAACACAAGTGTTTTAGAATCCAGCTGTGTCCATTTAGTAACATGCATGCTATGCTTTAGTATTTAAAAAAAAAAAAAAAAAATCAAGCCTGACTATCTCTAAGGATTAGGTCATCACAATTACGTACTCCAGGAAGATACTATGGATTCTCATAAGTAGTGTAACTACAGTAAGGTGGAGTTTGGCAGTCATCTTCACTTTGGGAACCTTAAGCCTATGGGTACATGTGTACTACATGAAAACTTGTTGGATCTGTTCAGAGGATGTTTCATAGTTGCTAACTTTGAGTCACTAACAAAAAGTCATACTGAAGCATTAATTAGCAATAGGGTTTTCCACCTCAATTCAGGTTTTGGTTTTTGATTATTTTTAGAGCAATCAAATTCACAGGACACTTTTTTCTTCCTGCTTTTCTGTACCTTTTCTTTTCTGTTTTAATTAGACATATCAAGTGCTCCTGCAAGGCCAGACACAACAGCAGCTTTACTTTGGCTTGTAAAGCCATGCTTCTAAATCCTGCAAGATTAAAATTTTTGGACTGGGAGATGGTTTTCTCCGAAAGCCCTGTTGTGTAGTCCCAAGAAAACATATCAGACAAAATACTACATATTCCTCATACTGGACATGAATTTTACATACTTCACTAAAAGGGAGAGGCACTGAGGCATCTTAAGACATATTTTGTGATCTAAGGTGGCAAGATGAAAAAAGTAGCAGAGCTTAGCCCAACACCTATAGCAAGAAGGGTAAGAGGATTTAGAAGTGATCTAGATACTTTGTACTGACAACCACAATCATACAGCAAAGCAGGATAAATATTAGTGCAAGAAGATACATGATATTCAGTCCAGAAGCTTTTTATGTAAGAAATACTAAGAAAAAGCCACACCCCAAAACGTGGGAGGCAAGTCCTAGAGAAAAGTACAAAACCCTGAACTTCAAGACAAGATAACCTATCTTCTCCCAAAATAAACTTTGGTCATAGGCCACTAGCATATCTAAATTCTACAAGAAAGCCATCACAGTAGCTATGCTCCTTGTTCTCTATTGTGCCAAGTACATTTAATGAGAATGGTTAAATGTAAGTATATGTTAATAAGTTTCATCATTATGGAGCATCTAACTCAGTTTTTAAATCAGATGCTTTATATTCAACACCCACAAAAGAAACATATTTGACATGACTGAATAGCCTGTTCTTCCCAACAACAACAACAAAAAAATCTTAGTGCTGACATTAATTGCCACTGTTAATTATCCACTTTAATTTCTTGTTTGATAAGAGCTATCACTTTTCTATTTTTTGGTTGTTTAAATGAGCTTCAGTCATGAGATTATAACAAACCTACTACTGCCTACTATATCAAGGAGTCTACATCAGCTTAATTTTCCACCCCCTTCCTGTAACATTTATATAGATGGCACCATCAATCCAATATTCATCCCAACCACAGATGGTAGAGACAAATCAGAGATGTGTCTGGTGTGGAGATAGAAGATTGTCTTAAGAAAGACTTCAAACAATGCTTATTTGAACAAGTTGTACAAACATCAGAAATGCCCTACTGGATCACACACCATCAGCTGAGCTAGCCTAGTATTTTACCTCCTTTTGCTACTGTTGCTAGGCTCAGCCACTTCATACAGACCCTTGGTGACAGAGAACCATTTGACAGAGAGCAGCTGGGAACATTGGAGGAATCTGAAACAATACATCCCCGCTTAACAAATTCAGTATCTATGTATGGACCTGTAGGCTGTTAGCTTGCCTAACTACTCCTGGAATCTGAGGATGGTTTGCCCCTCCCACCTTCCAGGGTAGCAAATACTAGAAGTTCACTATCCACTGCATGAAATGCTTTGTTTCATAAACTTAAACTGATCTTGTAAGAGATTGAGCATTCACTCGTTCCTTCACTGCAGAATGTGATGACAGTCCAGCATTCAGCTTATTCACCATATGTATCCTCAGTGTTCTGTGATCATGTGAATTTGACAGGTCTCCTTTTAACAAGTTTTATCGCTCTTTATGGAGATAGATATTTTTCCACTTTCCATTTTCAACCTTATTTCTTTTTCTATCCTATCCTCACCCAAACAATGCCTGGAAGATTTTCTTACTTTCACCTTTTCCACAGGAGTAAGGCAAGAAAGGGACACAAAAGGGAAGACTTTTCATTCCCCTTTCATGTAAGCTTTCCATAGTTCTACAAGAAATGGAAGCCCAGCTGTGTCCTGAAGTCAAGTTAGAGGCAGGCAGATCTTACAAAGACCATTTTGCACTAGTCAGTCCCATATAGCTCAAATCTCACCGATTAATAGACTTTAATGAAATGGATAACATAAGTGGTGGTGTCCTTTAAGTTTCACCCTTACCCTTGAAGGTCTTCAACTGCAGCTAGTTTATTTACCTCATTCTAAAGAGAGTGGTAAGCTCACAGATAAAGCAAAAGAAAGCAAAAAGACTGCAAGTGCAAACATGAAAGCTGCACAAAATATGCCATCTGTGGAGTTAAAATAGTTTTACTTCCATTCAAGTGGAAAGCTTTTCTTCCTTGCCAGCACTGTCATCTTGACCAGAGCTGTGTGTTCACAGCATGCATACAGAATGAAACATCAAGCTTCACAGCGCATAATGCATAACTGAACAATCAGTAGGTCATTGACACCTTTGATGCTTGCTTAGACAGTTTTAGAAGACTTGAGCAGGAGATGCTACTTTCCCAGAAGTCCAGCAACCGCAAGTTTAGTACAAAATAGCTGTTAAGAAATTGCTTAAGAACTACAGCTGAGTCTGCAAGTACATTAACAGATGAGAAAAAAACAGCAGAAAGGAAAGAGTCTAAAAACTAACTTTTATTTTTAGCATTTAGGAGTGAACAGTATAGGACCTGCTGCAAAACAGACGATATTTACATAACAGTTACTTCCATTTACAGTTTAACATAGTAGATTTTCTCTTCATAACATAACGCTTACGCTTCACAACTCTTTGCTTCTGTTCTGGAATAGTTATCAAGTTTTTTTGGAGGACCCCCTGTTGAGTGATGGTAGAAATTGTACCTTTCTTTGGAGGTGGCTCTTCTTCCACAGTAGGCTTATTTTCAAAGCAACGTTTTCTTCCCACTTCCAACACACTTTCCTCACAATCCTTGAATTGGCTGCTTTCAACCACTTTGTTAGAGTTCTTTTCTGCCAATTTTCTTTTAATGGTAGTTACAGTGTTGTCCTGTGTTAAAATAAGATCAATTACTTTGAAGTTTTACAAAGTGAGCACTTAAAAGGCTTAGTAATCTTATATGCAAATATTTTTTACAGAACTATCTGGGTAACATATAGGAATTATCAGAAGAACAAGTCAGTTACAGATCAGTTACTTAAACCAAAAGTAGGTACACCTTCAGATACCAATAAGCACAATGCTTTGCACTGTACAGAAAGCAGAGCAAGAGACTAGGAAACTACAAAATGCAAGCTTGTGCATAAGAGGAGTTTGTTTACCACCTGAAAACAATTTCCAGTGTCAAAAGAGTTGGTGAAATTCCTGATTTGTTCAAAGGGCAAATGGTCAGCTCTAGAAGTCATCACTTTATTGTCATAGTTGGTAGAGTTGGTATAACCACCTTCAGCAAAGCCACAGATCATTTTTATCATGACAGATCTGACGCAATTCGAAAAGTTAGTCAGTTCTGTCATACATACTTTAGACTATATATCTGACTAAGAATAAAGTTTCTTTACTTGCAAGATGACATAAGTGGCAAGCCATGCTGGTTGCCACGGACCAATTACTCATCTTTAAGTACTTCATTTAAAAAAAAAAACCCTATAGAAGAGACTTGAGGTCTGTGGTCATGTTTTAAGTTTCATGCCACACAGTCTCATAGAAGTACTGGACAGAGTTGGAGCCTTGCTCTTGGAAGGAGTAGTAATAGGAAGCATTCATCACAACTCTATCACTCTCAGAGCATTCATACTATTGAAAAAGCTAAGTTGCCGTGGGGCAGAGAGGGGGAATAGAAGATTAAGTATGGTCAAAGCCTTAAGTTTACAGTGGAAGAGAGAAATGGATCAGAGTGCTGACTAAGTTCATTTAAAATGTTCTCAGAACTACTTCAGGTTATGGGACATCAGGCTCAAAGACACACCCACACCCCGCTTAACTGCATGTTTTGATTTTTTAAATGTGTACAGGTTAGCCAAGCTAGTCTTTTGGCATTTAGCAGCTAGCAGTATACTAGCTAGTTGCAAGTTTTATTAATCACATCAAAAGCAGTGATATCCTGGCTATCCACTTGTAGTTCAAACTCTGTTCAATATACTCATATTATTGCTCTTCCTTTGAAAGTGTGTGTGCATGGTGGTGGTAGGTGGAACACACCAGTTTTTGTTGCCAATTTACACAATCACTGTCCTTCTCACATTAACGTCTAACTTCAATTAAATTTGACCTTTTGCTGCAGCAAAGCCTCCTTTCCTTCCTCTTCCATTCAGGCAAAGATAAAGAGACAGTGACGTAATCCCTCTATTCCCACTGCTTAAGTCCTCCCAGTTTGAGGTTGGTTCCCCCCCACTTTAGAGAGGCTCTTCAGGCCCCATCTACAGTTCTCCAATAATAACTACAGATCACTGCTTCTGAAAGTCCCATTTTTCACACACACCCCCTGCACACATTTTGCTGTAACTTTAGTTTCAATGCCAGCTTCACCTGCTACCATTTCAAGCAAGCAGCAATTACTTGCAGAAAATTTCAGCTTTCCAAAATAGTTAAATGCATTATAAGCATAGATTTAGAATTTTTTTTTTTTTGTATAAAGACAATTGAGATGTCTAAAGACTTACATAGTCTTTTACGGTTTCTTCTAAATGGGATATCAAATCTTGTAGTCTCATAATAACATCATCTTTTTGCTCCACAATGTCCATTAGTTCCTGAATCCTTTTATTCTGTATATTCATTTTCTTGGAAAAGAAAGTAGTTCAGTCAGTGTTAAAGTGTTGAACTATACCATGTATTTAGAAGCAAGATCAGTTAAGCTAAGCATGATATAAAAAAAAGCTAGAAGCATACTATAATAGCATTTTAAGCTAATGGAATTTTGTATTAAAGTAAATAATTTTGCACAAGTTTTTCCTTGAGAAAGTTACCTCAGTTGCTTCTTTAAGCTGCTCAGCAGACTCATCCAATTTAGTCATCTGCATTTCAAAGTCTGTAACAGGAAAAGAAGCCATTACATAGTTTACTCAGTAATCCATTTTTCCAGGTCTTCTGGTACTTCAGTAGCTTTTGAATAGATTGATTTATTTTCATGTTGACTTCTACTTATAGGACACATTTCAAAAATTGTTTAGGTTTTTTTGAATAGGAGAATTGGGTCTTGCAACTTGTATAATATCTAGATCATGGCAAAAACCCTCTGTTGAAATTGTATTATGAGGTATGGCTACTTTTTCCTCTACAAATGTTCCACAGGATACCTGAAAACCCTGCATCAGCAAGATGTAAAGAAGTGTGGGGATTACAATATAACCATGAAATCAAGAATCAATACTGTTGACATTTTACCCCACAATTCAGGAGTCTACAACTGACAGTTAAGTTTTGTCTTATTTATATAATTTA